AAATTAACTAATAGTAAAATAAAAAATGTGATATAAAATAAAGCAAATGAAAATAAAATAAAGTAAAATTAATTATATAAATAAAATAAAAAATAAACAATAAAAATTCTTTGCCAATTGTTCCAACCGAAGGATCGAACCTTTAAGCTACAGGCTTGTAGCGCGCAACTCTCCCCACTCGGCTACCGCGCACGGGAAGCTAACTACTTGGTTTGCTTGATTGTACAAAAAACAACAGCTGGCCGTTTTTACCAGTGTTGTCAACGAAAACTCCCCTGAACCAAGTTAATTCCCAAAAATTGCGTGCATTTGTTAATGCAAATAAAGGTTGTTTATGCAAATAAGCGAGCCCGTTTGTCAACCATAGTCAATTCAGTTCGCAAATGTGTACATACAAATATATCTGTGTTCGTATGGAAAAGTAGCTTATGTCGAAAGGCTGGCTTTAGTATAAATCGGCATTCGCAGCATACGATTGCGAATGATTTACGGGCGCTAAGCCGTTAAACAACTTTTAGCTAATAAACGTGCAAGAAATAGTTCCGGTACTAGCAAGTCAATATTCTTTTAAAGTCTCATCAAAAAATTCCTTGTCGTTTAAAAAATAAAGGGGATGCCGCATTATACTAAAACCGGCCTTTCGACATAAGCTACTTTTCCATACGAACACAGATATATATGTATGTAGTTTTTCACTTCTTAGCACTGTGTGAGCTTAACCTTTTACCAGACACCCTGTATGTTTGTGCTCACATTTAAGAAATTCTGTTCACGGACCATCCTGTGCGGTATATTTTTGGCCTTCAGGCAACGTGTTGGTATATTAGTCATTATGCAGCGAGTCAGCACTTGCGTCGGTGGTGTAATGGTTAGCATAGTTGCCTTCCAAGCAGTTGATCCGGGTTCGATTCCCGGCCGACGCACAATATTTTTGCAAATTTGTTGTTTGTAATATTTTTTTTTCATACTTTTAATTCTGACACTGCACAGGAAGGATAAATACAGTGGAATAAACCGGAAACTGACAGAACAGAAGGAAAATATAAAATATATAACAAAAATTCATTCAAAAAAACTGACAGTCGCTTAACATCCCTTCCGTCGCAACCTGCGCAAAAATTCATGTGCCGAGAAAATCGATGCAAGCACAATGTGAACGTCGTCAATTCACTCATTGAATGCTACTAAAGTGTACGCCAGCAAAAGCGAATAGTCGTGCAAGCGGTTGTCGTGTTAATTATATAGAAAATAAATGTGTTTAAAATATAATTTTGTGAAAAGAATTTGAAAGGAACTCCGAGAAAGCATATTTACTTGCATAATAGATCATCTGTATATCAACGAATTATAAAACAAAGTTCCAGAGAAGAGAGACTCACTTCTCGGAATATCCGATATACTTTTACTAGGACCGTTTTTTTTTGTAACTTCCTGCATTCCAATAAGAAAAGGTGCTAAATATTATGGGAGTTACTGATACAACTTCAGAAGATGGTGATTCATGCACCAAAATAACATTAGAAACATTTCGTGAAATTTTTCGCAACATAGAGCCGGAAGTACAAATCGATGCTTTTGAGGTAAAAAATATATATGTATATTTAAAAAAAAAATCCACAAATACATGTTTGTATGTATGTATCTATATATGTATGTATGTAGATATGTACTTTATATGAATAAAACAATAATGTACATACTGATGGAGTATTGCATTTTTCGCTGAACCATCAGCAAAGGCTCCAAACGCGATTTCAGTATTACATCATTGCTAAAGCCTCCGCCACCACCCAACTCATCTTTCTCTACACATCACACATTCAGTTGATTCTGGGCTACCACAGATGTGTGCTCTTAATTATTACTATAGCTAAGTGTGTAATGTGAAAAGCGAATTGTATTAATTGCGGCAAAATGTTTATTTATAATTCAATAGCAAGCAATTGTCGCAGGGTTGATGGGTCACAGAATCAAATTGCTGTTGCCACTGCGGCTTTTGGCTGAATTGCGGTTAACGCCGCGAGAGGAGAAGCTATGCAGTGCAAACTAGTAATTACGATGGTGTGCAAAACTGCAATACTAGTAATTTGTTGTCTTAATCCGATGCGTTCTGGCGCTTAAACTAGTTAATTTTCTTTAATGTAATGTAGGTATGTATGTTGTATTCTACAGGAGGAGCAAGGGTCAGGCCGCGGTGACAACTATACAGCCACTTTATACCGCACACATCTTAGTGGGCAGCGAAAGAGCACAACAGACGGTAAAAAACAAAAATGGGAAAAGAATTTAATCTGTAAGCGATTGCCGGAAGATGTTCAACGCCGTGAAGCTTATAAGAGTGATAAGCTGTTTAGGTGAGTTTGAAATCTATCAAAATGCTCCAAGTACAAATTGAGTATGTATGTGCATATGTATGGGTAGTATGTATGTACATATACATATGTATATTTGAACTCGTTAAAAAAATATTACGGCATATAAAATACTGTGCGTCGGCCGGGAATCGAACCCGGATCAACTGCTTGGAAGGCAACTATGCTGACCATTACACCACCGACGCCACCGTTAGATCTTCGCCAAATTTTATACACATACGCACATATGTATGTATGTGCCTGAAGTTGCCATATCGTTGATTAAAGCGGAAGTAAATAGAACTGAAAGCAAAAGTTTGAACCATTTTATAAATTTGTTAATAACACTTTAAATTATAAATTTCTTCTAGGAATGAGGTTTTATTTTATACGGAAATATTACCGGAATTGTTGAGATTTCAATGCACAAAAACGGAAAAGGCTTTTGAAGCTACTCCTAAATGTTTTTATGCGCGGGGAGACCTTTTGATAATGGGTTTGTATAAGGAACTTTAAAATGCATAATCCTCCACAAGCAATAAATCGTTTAAACCCATTCCAGAGGACTTACGAGTACGCGGCTTTCAAATGACTGATCGTCAGAAGGGTCTTACCTTAGATGAAACTCGCTTAGTATTGAAACAGGTGGCTCAATTCCATGCTTTAAGCTTGGCGTATAAGTTTGAAAAACCTGCTCAATTTGAACGTTTGCGCGCACTTGTAACAGAGGGACTTTTCTGTTCCTCAAATGAGAATTGGTACAAAAATTACTATGAACGTTTAACAAAGGACGCCATTAAAATGGTATGCTCTTCAACGACAATTTACTTACATAAATATCGTTACCGTATTATATAAAGACCCTAACATATTTTTTACTACATCAAAAATTGTGTTTCTTTGTTTTCTTAAAACCAGTTAGGGAGTTCACAAGGTGTTGTATACTGTCGTATTGTTGTATGTCGTAAACTTAAAACGGCTAAAACTATGTTTAAGGAATTCGCAAGCTACCATAAAAGTCGTATTATGAAACTTTACACGGTTAAAAAATATTTAGTTGTAAAAAAATTTAAACTGAAGAAGTTTTTGTAAAGTTTTATAACTACTCTGTAAAGAAACATTTATGTTAGATAGGGCTTATATGAAGGTAACGATATGGATGTATGTTCATACTTAAATCCTATGTATGTATGTTATTAATTTTTTTTTTTAGGTTTCCGATGTTTTACCAGATGAATCTAAATATTTGGATGCAATGAGGAAATTCGCTGGTTGTTCGTCCTTCTTTTCACAAATGGTTTATTTAGTGAGTACAGAATCCGCACTATCGGCAATTTGTCACGGTGATTGTTGGGTCAACAATTTCCTCTATCGATACGAATGTGTCGATGATATCACAGATCAAAAAAATGCTGTTGAGGTAAAATATTTTAATGGATTTACGTTTAAAAAATTACCATGTAGCTACGTAAATTTCTTTAGGTTTGCTTAGTGGATTTTCAGCTGATACGATACAGTTCCATTGCGTTGGATATAGCAAATTTACTATTTTGTTGCACAACCAAAGCGATGCGTGATGAACATTTAAACGCCTTCATTAAATTATATACATCCGAAGTTTTTAGTTGGTTGAAAACATTGTGCACACACATACCAGAATCATGTGACAGCGCCGACAAGTTTGCAAAATTGTACGTTTCTTATAAAAAATATTCCGATTTATTTACATAGCACAAATAAGTATACATTTAGATTCTACAATTAATTTATAACTCATTTGCAAAATTATTATTATAAAACTTCCTGAAGATTTCGCGAGGAACTGAAAACCTATGGACGTTTTGCGCTTGGTCTTGCTTTGGATATATTACCAATGTCAACTTGCGCATCGGAACATGCACCGGATATGTACTTAAATATACATCACGACGAAATGGAAACTGGTGCGCCAATTTTGAATTTTCCGCCCAACGATCTTTGCCGACGAAAAATGACCGATATAGTCATTGACATGGTCGATAGGGGAATGCTCTAATGAGATGATTTTCCTGATACATATTACTCTTCGAAAACTAGGCTAACAACTTTTCTGGCAGTACCTATACGTCAAAAGTTAGAATCCGGCATAGCTTAGGTAGCATAAATGAATGTTAACACTGCAATTAAGTTTCCTTAAGCATACCTACTACAATATATTGAACTTAAGAATTACTTTTAGCTGCGGTTTACAATATACGTATTGTAGAATTGATATAAGTATGTATGTATATGTTTACATAATAATGCACACAAAGAAGATTATGTATATATATACATATAAGTACATTGTTGTAAGCTAAGATTATTGGTAGTTACATGCGTGTTAGAATATTGGCTCTTTGAATATGCGATAATCTCTAACTTAAATAATGTATTTAGTATACTAAATTTAAGAACTGTTAATGCGGTATGACTGACTTGTTAAATGAAGTATTTAAATTGTATGTCATTGCACACTTTCTAATTAAAAATTATTTTCATATGTAACTATTTTATGTGCATAATATGCATGTATAAACGTTTCTAATTCATATTTCGAGCTGTATTTGCGCACATCCGAGCACAATTAAAGACATGTTAAGCTGCAGGTCGCGTCAGCGATTAGCAATGTTGCGGAAACTCTCTGACTATACCCACGTATTAATTCTATTGCCTAGAAGTATTAGTTAACTGTATTTGGTATTTTTATTTAAATGAAAAACTTGTAATAAAGTGTTATACATTTAGTTCGGTATGAATCGATATATTACGAAGGGATAGAAAGGCCTATGCATATATGTATGTATAAGCATGAGTCTAAAATTTAAAAACAAACACAATTTTATAAATATAAACTATGCGGCTTAAGCGCAGAACTAACTTTTATTAAGAGTGCTGAAATATACTCAAGCGTTTGACTCTTCAAATTGACAATAACAATTTGTAATTTTTATAAATATTACATATTGGCACATACCAAGGCATATCAAACAGGTAGTAACATTAAGAGCAAAAACAACATTTGTGTGTTACTTCTGGTATCGAAAGTGTCAAAATCTGTGAAATACAGGAAATAAAAAATTGAAATTGAAAAATAAAAATTGTTGCAACTTGCGTTCTTAGTAAATTTGTTTGCTTCTCGAAGCATTGATCCGTCCTTTGCATTGCCCAGTAATTAGCGTTTATGCTGCTGAGTTGGGCGAACGTTTCAAAAGCTGATATTTAATCGCTTCTTTTGGATGGAAAAAGGCTTCACATGCAGAGATTTTAACAATTTAGAATTTTTTAAGAAACTTAAAATATTTGACATTTTCGAGACCAAATTTGAAAAAATCAAATCAGCCCTAACTCATTTTCTTTTCAAATCCAGTACCTACTGTTGAAAAAGTCTGCCGATTACTCAATAAACACCCATTGGTTTTTAAAAATAACTAATACAGTTTAAAATTAGTTATATTATTCAACAAGAAAAGCCTTCGAAAGAAATTCGCAGCCAAAGGACTCGATTTTCTATGCAGCTTTTTCATCACCCCATAAAGAAACCAAAAAGTTAGATAGGGCCTTTCTATATTAAGGTAACGATATGTATGTACGTATGTATTTATAAAAGAGCAATTTGTAAAATGTTCCAATGCACATTCAAGAACTGAATACTTATGTTTTTATGTAGCAGCGGAACGCTATCCCATACATGGTATGCAATTTAAATAAAAATAATCGCTATAGCACGAATTATGCATATAAATACATACATTTTGTATTTTTTATTAGTATTCAAATTAGTAGTCGGCCTTCGCAGTCCAACTGGATTTTGTGGTTAAATTTCCCTTATCACAGTTATTACGTAAAAAGCGTAGTCCTGCTTCAATAGAACGTTCGAGTTCATTGCCTGATTTCGACTTCTTAGCATGCATCGATGGATCATAATCCAGGTCTACTGGCGGAGGTATGGCCGCACCTGAACGCTGGTAATCCGTGTTCTCCTCGGTATCATTTTGTGCTTCATAGTTACGTCTTTGGAAAGTCTTACTTCTTTTCGATGTCTGATAAATGGCGAAATTTTCGGCAGCCGACGCAGATGGCATCATATTGTATTTGTCGGTAGAAAGTAGTTCATTTGGAGGATGCATGCTTGTGAAATTCCTACGTTTAGGATAGTATTGCCTCTCTGGCGAATCATTTACAGGTCCAAATTCTGCAACGCGTTCTCCACGTTTCTTTTCATTCCACTCTTCTTGTGACATGGGCAATCGTTCTGGTTTATATATCCATTTTGGCTCAGGCTCTCCATTTTCTTCGACCGTAGTGTTATCAGTTGCGTATTCTTTTTCTTTATCCCATGGTCGCACGTGAAGTTTTCGCTCTAAGTCACGTTGCTTTTCCTCCCGCTCCTGTTTTCTTTGCAACTTTTCGGCCCTCTTGCGAGCTTTACGTTCTTCTTTTGTCTCCTTTTCTTTATTTACAATCTCTTCCTTCGTTTCATTTTCCTCAAGCGGTGGCAAACCAAGACGCGCACGCTGTCTATTCTTCGCAGCACGAACCCGCTCAGCTACAATTTTTTCACGATGTGCTCGGAGTTCATCGCGCCGCTTTTGTTCTTCTAATGTACGCTTTCTTGTTTCCTCTAATTCTTTCTGCTGCTTTTTGCGCTCTTCTTCGTCTGTAGAGAATGCATAATAGCCGACACCGTGCTGTCGAGCCTCATCGAAGAAAACATCTTGGTAATGAACATCTGCTTTATCGATATTTTCTTGTTCCTTACGCTCCCAGTTGGCGCGTTGTTCATCATGTTTGGACATCATGGAAACCCCATCGCCGAAAACACTTTCGCTTGGCATGGGACCAATTGGCGCATCGACGTCTTCCCCACTAACATCAGATACGTTTTTAGAATTTAGCATCCAATTAGCTTTAGTCTGATCCAATCGCTCGGGCATGCTGGCTGCTAATTCTGCGTCTCTGCGCTGTACTACTTCCAAATCCTTTCGCAAACATTTTCGTGTGCGACCCAAACAATCAGTATATTCCACCCAGTCATCTTCATCCTCATGACTATTGTCAACGTCACTTTCGCTGCGACTGTCTGAATCTGATTCTTTTGTTTCATTCGAGCTTCCATGATTAGGCCTCCCCATCTCTTCAATTAATGCATCGTCTACACGCTCGTCCTGGTGCTTACGATTGAATAATACTAAGCAATTATCATCAGAGTTGAGTTGGCCACCGGTGCGGGACATACGTTCATAGAATTTACTTTTCGCTTCCAGTACACGTCGTGACTTTTCCAGCAACTCGGAATCTTCGTGCTCATAAACGGTAGCACCTTCAAGTTTGTCGACCTCTTTGGCACGTTCCTTCTTATCCCTTTTGGAGACACTAGCGCTGCTAGAGNGTTCATAGAATTTACTTTTCGCTTCCAGTACACGTCGTGACTTTTCCAGCAACTCTGAATCTTCGTGTTCATAAACGGTAGCACCTTCAAGTTTGTCGACCTCTTTGGCACGTTCCTTCTTATCCCTTTTTGAGACACTAGCGCTGCTAGAAGTTGCTTGAACAATGTTTTTTGAGGAATATTCGTTCTGCTGATTGGGTGCTTGAATTGCCTTAGCTTTGTTTACTTCAGCTTGTTTGCGTAGAAGTTCAGCTTTTAAACTTAAAAGTGAAGATAAATTAACGTTGATGACCTTGTTTGGATCATTCATGTTTTTAACAATGTTTGCAGACAAAATATAAAACAATTGTTTTCAGAAAATTAAGTGGAATTAGAGATGTAAAAAGAATCGTGCTATCTGATATCGCAGTATCACAAGCTATCGATGTATGTACAAATATCAATGAATCGATACAATATACATACGGTGACCATATTAATTTGAGCCGATTGGAAGACAAAACATATTTTTGCAAATTTTTTCCACAACAGCTTACAGATCTTAAAGCCTTCTTCAATTTTCCTAGGTGTTTTAGCCCTGAAACAGTATCCTTACAGTAACATCACAAATTTGTAGGATAGTTTTCTGGAGAATTTTACCCCGTAAGATTTATTAAAAGAAATCGTTAAATTTTATTATAATAATGTGCAATTTTATGTCGCTAAGGCTTATCATTAATTGTTGGAATTTTTTTTGTTTATGGTGTTACGAAATTTTTCAAAACAATGTTAATATGTTCAACCATTTTTTTTTCAAATAGAAGCAAATGAGGAGCACTTTCCACCCGCACTTTATTATACTCAATTTTAGTTAGCTACAAAAATGCAAATCCATTTTTTTTCTAAAGATTCTAATTAAAAAGTTTGATATTTTAATGAAATATTGCAGAATTAATTTTTATTTTTTATTTTTGCACAAAGTTGGAAATTTGGTATTTGGTTTTTGTTAGGAAAAGAGCTTTACTTTCATAAAATAAATAATAAACATTAAATGAACTAAGGAAAAGTAGCCAACACTTACAAAAATATTGAGTTCTAATTTCTATTTTGGTCATGTATTCCCCGATTCGAATCACAGCCATTCAGATTAAAAAATAATAACTGTTTATGGAGAAAATTACGATCATATACCAAAATCCCTTAAAACTCGTTCATAAGCATGCCATTTTAATGAGCTGTTAAGGCGTCGAAACTAGAGTCCGACCGATTAATCGGCCGATGCCGAGGCTAGTCGGGCAAAAGAATCGGCATCGGTCGTTTTTGGCCGATTCTTGAATGAGGTAATGGTATTTAATTATTTGATTATGTTTTTCTTTTGCTATAAAAGTTTATAAAACCATTTGATCTTGAAATGAATTTATATAAATATAAATATAAATTCATTTCAAGCACAAATGTTTTTATAAACTTGTATAATAACAAAAGAAAAACGGCCGATGCCGATTTTTTTGGCCCATACTAGCCTCAGCAGCGGCCGATTAATCGGTTGGACTCTAGTCGAAACACCGAATACGGGACAAATACAGGACATTAAAAGAAATATAGAACATTTGGACACCGTACACCGACGCCGAAGCCGAACATTAAGTAGTTTTAAGTTTCAAAAATAATGGGTCTGTGGTTTTTGATTCCGTAACAAATTATGGGAAATGTTTAGTACCACTCACACCGTTTTTTGGGTGGGGGCGGAGGGGAAGGGGGCGGGGCCCTCAAAACACCCCCCAATAGAAAGGAGACAGTCGCCGCTTTCTAAAAAGGGGAACCCCTCCCTTGGACTCCTCCCACAGGCACCTAGGGAACCGTTTGAAAAAGGGGGAAAAACGGATTTTTCTTAGGCAAACTGAGCAGTTTGAAGTGGAATATGACCCAACTAACAGAAACCGTGGGATTTTTTAATAAAAGAAATTATGCCAAATTAGATATGGGGGGATTTTGAATAAAGAATAAAAAGTTAATTAAAAATAGAAAAAAA